TTAACAAAGAGATCCACTACCTGATAACTAAGAATTGACTGGTCAAGTATGCTAGATGGGGTAAATTGGGCTTCCCTGTATTTGTGATAGGAAACTTTGTCTTCTACTATTTGAAAGCTATCGTCGGCAGCACAATGGTAGGAACTACCTTGGAGCAGTTAACAAGCTCGCTTGCCGCAAACCATCAAGAAAATTGAGGGTATGAATGCAAGTTGAGAATAGGAATAGAAAGATTGAGTGAGTGAAACTTTAGAAATCCCACCTTATAGATTTCAGCAGATCATACAGTACTATCGAGGTTCGTACAGTACGATCAGAAGAATTCAATTCATCTGGATGATCTATCGAAGCAATTAGTCAAATCGTATAGTACGATGAGCATCGTACTGGATGATCTTTGTTAAAAACAATCATCTCGAGGAGTCATCAGTAGGAACTTTTACTAAAAGGATCGTAGAGTACGATGATGTTTCGAAAATTATACTAGACGATTTAATTCATTTCAACGGTAACAGACACGTGGATCATACAGTACGAAGAGGATGATCATGCAGTATGATCATCAATATTTGTTCAAATAAGAGCTGTTGAAATCAAAGCCGTCGACGATTTGTTGAGTTGTGCAGATCGAACAGTACGAATAACGCTCGTACAGTACGATGTGAACATTTTTTTATTCATTAATATTAGGTATGTGGTGATCAGGGAATATCTAATAATAAGCAAACAACACTAAACATTTAACAAACATCAAAAAATAGAAACACATAAAATCTCAAGATGTTGATTTCATCTTGCCCTGAATAAAGCAAGAATGTCAATGACACCTAGTGTAGTCCTCAGTGAGCTAAAGGTGTAATATCTTAATTGTTTGATGAAGATATCATTCTGCCAATTGATCTTCAATTACTACAAGATTCAACCCAATATCTCCCTTAGCAACATGGTCTCTAATGAAGTGGTGTTTTATGCATATATGCTTAGTACGGGAGTATTGAATAGGATTCTTAGAGATGTATATGACACTAGTATTATCACATATAACTTGAATAGTGCCAACAGAGAGTCCAAGGTCAAGGACTTGTTGTTTTAGCCATAAGACTTAAGCAACACAACTTCCTACAACAATTTATTCTGCCTCAGCGGTGGATAGGGCTACAGAGCTTTATTTTATACTGGACTAAGAAACTAAGGATTGACCTATGAATTGATAGGTTCCAGAGGAGCTTTTTCTATAAATCCAACATTTTGTATAACTAATCAAAAATTTATTTAGGAAATAAGCTTCTCCATTATTGATCTAAGTCATCAATATGCACCTCTCTACTTTATTGTTAGTTGATTTAAAGTAAAACAGATGATTCTTAACTTTTAGATTGGCCTTCATCAATAGTTTCCAAAATTTTGTTTTAGTAAACTTCTAAAATTTTCCTAAATGTTGAGTTTTGCAAGATGATAAATTTCCAAGAGAAGTGCTATGGAGAGTTCTTGAAAAAAATGGAGTTAATAATGCTTATATTCAAATCATTAAAGTTATGTATGCATGAGCTATTACTTGTATTCATTGACCAATCATTTTCATATTTCAGTTGGATTACATCAAGGATCAACCTTAAGCCCATATCTTTTTTGCTTTAGTCATGGATGTTCTCACAAGACATTTGTAAGGGGATGTACCTTGGTATATGTTTTTTGCTAATGATATTCTTCTTGTTAATAAGATTAGAGAGGGAGTTGAAGGTAAACATGAACTATGGAGGTCAACCTTAGAGTTTAAAGGTTTTCACTTGAGTAGAACTAAAATTGAATATATAGAGTGTAATTTTAACAGTAATAGACCAAGTGGGGTATTGTGACTTTGGGCAATCAAGTCATTAATAAGAGTACACGTTTTTTAAGTTGGAACTATTGTTCAGAGTGATGGTGAAATAGATGAGGATATTGTCAGCATAATTCAAGTTGGATGGTTAAAATGGAGGAATGCATCGGACTTGTTGTGTGATAGAAAAGTCCTCCTCAAACTTAAGGGAAATTATATAAAATCGTGGTGAGACTTGCAATGTTTTATAGTGTAGAATGTTGGCCATTAAATGAGAAGCATAATACTATGTTAAGAGTTGCAAAGATGAGGATGCTCAGATGAATGAGCAGATTTACCCTTAGAAATAAGATACAAAATAAGCATATACGAGAAAAGGCTGGAGTAGCTCCAGTGAAAGATAAGAATAGAGAGAGTCGCCTTAGATGGTTTAGTCAAATAAAATGACGGCCTTCCGATGACTTGGTTAGGAAAGTAGAGTTATTAGATTTGACTTATATTAAGAAAGGTAGAGGTAGACCTAAAAAGATTTGGTTAGAAAATATTAGAAATGATATTTCTTTATTAGATTTAAATGATAATTTGACCTTTAACATGACACAATGGAGAAAAAGGATTCATGTAGCAGACCCCATGTAGTGGGACAAAGGCTTGATGTTGTTGTTGAGTTTTGCAAGATCATTTACAAGGACAATTTCTTCAAACTCATTCTGAAGAACTATCTCCATAAGTTATTTCTAAGGCACGAATTCCTCAAGTTTTTTTAAAGGAATGAGATCCGTGCATTTTTTCTAACGGATTACTTCGCAAGTTTTCTTGTGATGACATTTTAAGAAGCATTTTCTGCAACGATAGAGTGCAAGTACTCAATGTTCTTCAAAAAACTTTTTATCTATTCAAATAAAAGCTCTTTACATTCATAAAAAATATGTTTTTGAAAGAGACATCTTTTGCATGGAAAAAAATATTCAAGTCACCTCCACTTTAGATTCTTAATACTTCTTTTTCCATATGACTTTGTAAGATCCACCTAGGTGCAAAGTTCTGTATGACTATTTTAATATGTCCCAAATCATGTCTAAGTTTTATGATAGTTCGTCCAACTGTACTCATTACAACAACACGTGTCAAAATATGGCATGAGGATCCAATTGCGCAACAATTGTATTCTCTTTTTCTTAGAAAATATTTCTCTTAAAAACTTTTTCAGGAATATTAATCATATAAAAAAAATTATTGAACTATCTTGTTAATGAAAAGAACATGTTGTTAGAATATTTTGACCTAAAATCTCTCAATTTCTATCTTAAAAGAAAACCCAAAATAACTCATCAATAAGAATAAAGTTAATCTCCATGTGCATATAGACTTTTGATATTAATAAATACTTCGCTTCATCAAATAAATTCAAATAGTAGGTATATTCATAACTCTAAAATTATAGGTAAGAACAGGTTATTCTTTCTGATTCTTGGTCGGTAACCAACCTGGTTTTTCAACATGTTTCTTGATAATACAAGGTCCTTCAGAAGTAGACCCTAGTTTGTCAGCATTGATTGTCTTGTTATTGCATCAACTTTATGCAGGATGGGATTGTTCAGGTGAAATGTTTTCTCACGAACATTTGAATCATAATATTTCACAACTCATCTTTTTAGTTACTATTCTCTAACAGAAGCTTGAATTATCAATACTTCCAACAAGACACATTTTCAGTCCTTCATTTAGATTACCCCAGTTACCCTATCCTCTTTCGTCAAAATTTGATACAAGAACAACTCTTTGGTTATGGAGATTACATTCAGCTGGAAATAGCGCTTCTACTCTATGGTATAACATAAAAAACCTTTGCACAATCATTGAAGATGATATGGTGACACCAAAATCTTAGTAACAAGGATGGACAGGGACTAAGAGAGAAGAGCAGAAATAAAGAGAGCTTAGAGAGAAAAGTTTTGGGATTTCTACTAGACTATTAGAAAGTATAAAACTTATGTAACACAATGAATGTGCCAAGCTCATCCTTTGATCTCCTATTTATAGATGGGGTCAAGGTTCGATGCTACAAGAAATACTACATTTGAATAATACAAGTAAAATTAGAAAACAAGGCTTAATAAATACTTGTCATAAAATGAATAAATCTAGCTAATTTCTAGCTATCTAGTTAAATGAATAACTCTTAATGCAATCTAGATAAAGAATGAGATAATTGAGAAAAATGCTTCTTTGATAAAGTCTCTAACATTATTCTGAGCTAACAAGTAGCTATGGATGTTTGGCAACTTCAATTACTGATTTTATTAGCAAGTTCAAGTAAACTTGGGCCGAATGAAAATTTAGTAGAGTTTAAAAATAACAACCAAGAACCGATGTAAAATGTCTAATAGCTTTAATGACTTGAACTAGTGAGTGTATCAGCAAGTTTATCATATAGTTTGATGAATTAAATTTTGTAGCAAGTTGATCCAATTACTTGGCTGTTTGATTGAAACCAGTTCAAGATAATTTTGAGGCATGATTAATTTGACCTATGTGACATTGGATGAACATTTCATAGGATTTCATGGTCAAAACTTCAGGTAGAAAGATGAATATAGACTCCCATTAAGTTTTTCTAAGGATGTTCTCAAAAATATCTTATATATGCAAAAAAAAAATTCAAAATCTAAATTTCTGGGACAATGCCAATGGTGAAGACAACTTAGATTTACTCGAAGCTATGCATGTAAATAAAAAAAAGGAATTCATGACAACCAGCCAATAATAAAGACTTACAAAATCTATTTCTGTTTTGCCTTTTTTAATCCCTTCTCCTTTAAAAAATAAATAGGTGAGAATAGCCAATGCTTGTAATGACCCACAGTAAGAATTTACTGGCCAAAGTAAAAAAGATGAATATACAATCCCATTAAGTTTAAGATGTTCTTTCTTTTCATAAATCGAAAATTGCCAATTAACTGCAAATTTCACATATTACTTGAGCCTAAACAGCTGAAGCAACAGAGTATAGACAGACATCCTAAGATTTCTAACATAAAGAAATGGCAGTAATTTACTACAAATGCATATGTTTCTATAGCAGTAAAAGGATATTTTTGTAAGTTATAAGTAAATGCAATTTTTTGCAACCAGAAGAAAGGAAACAATTTTAAAGTATAAATTGAGGATAAGAACTCACTCCAATTTCTGTCACATAATGGCATGATGAACATCTTAAGGATTTAGGGGGGCAGCAAAGGGGAAAGGGGGGGGCTAGGTGGCAGGTTGTGGTTAGGTAGGTGGGTGGGATTTAGGCGGTGGAGCTAGAAGATGAATTGGGTGGAGGGAATTCGATGCAAGAAGAAAATAAAAGAACAAATAAGATAAGAGAACCGCGAACCTTAGAATCCATCAAGATTGACGGGTATTGCTTTTGCCCCACTTGGACCTCTCCTCTCACGAACTCACTAAGAGATTATCCCAAGAGAGAAAACTTAGAACTCACAAAGAGATCCATAAGCACAAGCTGAAAATTTCATATTAATCATCATCCCATAATACAAAACTACTAGTCTATAAATAGGCTCAAGAAGAGAAAAGAAATAAAAGACTAAAATGCCCTTCGGGCTACAACACTACATGACCACCCGTAAGGGTATAAAGGGAAAAACAACAATATAAAATAAACTAGTACAAAAAAATAAATAACTCAAGATCGTAGCCGTTGATCTCCGATGTCCTCATCATTCTCCCCAGGTGGGAGAAAACTCGACTCCGTCGAGTGGGTGTCTTAAGAACTCTCATGTATCTGAGTCGATTTGCTGTATCTCCTTGCGCTCTGATCATGTATCCTCTGACTCTGGTATACCTCTCCACGTCATCAGCTATCTTCTTCGTCAACCCTCACTTGTGAAAATAATGTCATCACTCAGAATCATGTCAACCTTCTCCACTATAAGTAATTTGGGAAGATTTGGGGAGTGGAGTTAGGCTGGGGTTCTCAAAGGGTGGGGTCACACAAGGCTCAATTTGAAGTGGAGGTGGTGGGTTAAACTCTGGACCCTCATATGTTACTAATTCTTCTATGTTAATAGAGAGATGAATGTTAAACTCTGCAGGCTGATCCACCACGTAAGCGCTATCAATGATTTTCTTGAATGTTTTAATTGGTCCCGCACTTCAAGCATGTGATTCATTTACAGTTCCTTGTGAGAACTGTGCCGGACGAATCCGCACCGTCGCTAAATTACCAACCTCAAAAGCTTTAAATTGTCGTTTTGGAATTCAGCATAAAGTCTATAATTATTATTGTTCTGTTTCAGTTAGGCGTGCAACTCCCTTAAGTAGTTCATGCGGATGCGATGCAAATGCTGTATGTTTTTAGACGAGGTAACTTCAAGACTCAACAAAATAAATAATGATGTGATGCAAGAGACTCAGTGTGCATGATGATTGGCAAGAATCATGAGATCCACAAAGTTTTAAATAGAGACAAATTTGGAAGACAACAGACTACAAAAACACATACACACACACACAACATACTAACTCACATGAACACATAGCTAGAATAAAGGTGGAAGAGTCACGAAATGAGGGAATCTAAAGTGTTCAGGTATAAGGGAATTGGTGTAGGGGGAGCAATGAACACATCCTTAGCTACCAGGGCACTTCTATAGGAAGTTTCAGTTAAGGTCGTAGGTAGTCTCCTAGGGTCAATGGGGTCATCTAGTAAATTCATTCAACTAGGAGAGAGATGGTTCTTAACAGAAAAAGACAAGAACATAGCGAGCAAAACAAATGAATCAGGAGCAAGATAAGACGATGGGTTCTGAATCACAGTTATAATGGGATAACCCAAAGAGTCGCTAACAGGTATGTGATTCAAAAGATAGGATAGAGTGTTCAGAACAGGTGTGGGCACAACAGTTAAAGAGGTGTCATGAAGGTATGGGTTAACGCTCTCTCTAATATTAAAGTCGGTAAGAGGAAAGTTGAGATAAGGCCACTTAAGAAGGACACACTCTCTCAAGTGTAGATCTAATGGCTCAACCTTTTAAATATATTCTAATAAATCAAATGGAGGCTCATTTTTCCAATCAGGCTCAACGTTATTTAAATTCAACTTACTGTCTTCTGAATTCATATAAGTATTCTCAATAGGATCAGGTTTAAGTATAACCCTAAGGTTGATAGATTTGGGGTTAGTTAAATCAGGATTCAAATCAGGTAGTAAGTTCAATGGAACCACTTCTGACTCGAGATTATTAACATCAAAATTATCCAAAGTCAACTCAATAGGTGATACAACTAAATCAGGATCTTCCGAATTTAAATTCAATGTGTTCAAGGTCAGATTGGCTTCTTTCGAGATCACATTACTATCGTCCAGGAAGACTTTATCCAAAGATTATCCTTGAGGAGACTAGGATCAGGGGGGTGGGCTAAGGTGTCGATGTTTAAAGGTTCCAACTTTCCTAGCTCATGGTTTAAGTTATGCCAGGACTCTAACTCAATCACTTTAGTTTTATCCTCAAAGAAGTCCTCATTATCGTTAGTATCCACGAAATAGATGTATTCAGTCTCAGGTTCAGCAGATTTCTTCTTTTTAATGCAATTATTTATTAAAATCACACTTGCAGGGTCAAGGATTGGGGAGGCTAAAGGTTGACTGGGATGGCTAGAAGTGGGTCCGAGTAGGGAGTCATATGAGATTGATCCAACAGAAGACTCAATAGAGGGTCGGCCCCATCAAAGTTAGGTGAAGACCTACAGGGTGGGGCAGCAACCCTGATGTTGCTAAAAGATAGGTGGTCTCGACCACAGTTTGTTCCAACAAAAGAGGTAGGGTGGTGCTCTAGATGGCGGTTCACTAGTTGAGGGTCGGTATTTTAAATTAAGTTCTCATCTCATGTCTTTCCAAGTATGGTACTCACCGCGAGACTCTTTATGATCTTCCAACCTTATCCAAAATTGAAGAGCCTGACCTTTGAGGTGAGACTTAGCGATGATAACCTGGTGGGACTCAGGGATATGACATGATTCAAAATAGTCCTCTAATTGTCTAACCCATTCCCTAAAGTAGTAAAGGTCCGCGGAACAATCAAAAGTGGGTAAACGGTAAGGTGACTCTAAGTGAGGTCGTTGAGGCTTAGGCTCAGATCTAGGTTGATAAGCAGAGTGGGGCATCTTCCGACCAATGTTTAAAATTGCGTATTCGGGTATTGAGGCGTTTTTCATTTGTGAGGCGAGGTGTAAGCCTCAAGGCGTTTTGAGGCGTAAGCCTCAAAATCAAAAGATTGCGTAAACATAAAATGATAAAATTTTTATATACTAATGAGTAAATAATATAAAACATAAAAAAGCATAAGATATGAAGTGAAATCAAAATATCTCAATAATAACTCAAAATTCTATCTTTCTCAAATGCCAGTATTCTTTTCATTAACATATAATTCCAATTTCCAAAATAAATATTAAATAGCAATGACATATCACATAAGAACTCATAAGTCATCAACACTGTCATCACTAAGGGGTTCTTCATTTGAATCATCATTATGATGAACTGCTCTCTCCCCTTCCTCCTCTCCTATAGAGTCCAATGTCGGACATTTACTTCAAGATTTATGTAAGTTTTAATATATATAGTGTGAGGCGTAAGCCTCATGCCAGTGAGGCGAGGCGGGCCTCAACCAAGTTGAGGCGCAAGCCTCATAAAAATAACTCGAGGAGTAAGCATCGAGGCGTTTTTTACTGGAATTGCGCAAAGGCGGGCCTCAAGGCGAGCCTCATATTGCGCAATTTTAAACCATGCTTCCGACTAGCAGGATTGATTGAATGGGGCACGTACTTAGAGTGGGGAGAGTCAATAGGTTTCTCCGTCATAATTCTAGTCATAGAATCCACTAGGTTAACGATGTCATCTAACCTCTTTTGGAGTCTTATCGAATCCATTGGGGAAGCGTCAAGTGACACTCAAAGATGGTTGGGAGTAAGGGACGTCATTGAGACACTAAGTTAGGCTCACTTAAGCTCACTAAAGGGTGCAGATATTGAATGGACGGAAAGCTACACTAGTGGGTTAAGTAACATAGGCACTTAGGAAGGTTGTTAGGTTGAAGACAGCACCTAAACACTTAAGAAATTAGCCTACAGTTCACTAGATGTGTGCAGGAATGATGTGGACAGCAGACTACAACATGACATAAAATTGTCTAAGTGTTTTGGAGGGCTTCTAGAGTGTGGACAGCACTTAAACACAACGAAATGCTTACTAAAAAGTGACTATCAGCAGCAGAAAATTTCAGGACAGCAAACTAAATAGTGGGTTAAGTCGTCTAGATGTTATGGGGGTACCACTAGGGTGAGGACAACACCTAGACACAACTTTAAGTTCATTAAAAGGTGCCTAAATGTTGTTGGAACAGTGAGAACAGCAGTTTATATCAAGGATGTAGTTGTACTAAGCACTTAGAGTCGATATGGATATAAGGGCAGCACTAAGACACTAGCTAGAATGATTAGTCCACCAAATGCGTGCAGGAAATGCAGGGACAGCAATGTAATCAGGGAATAAAATTATTTATGCGATGATATGCATGCAAAATTTAAGGTTTAACGCAAAGCTAGACCCTAGAATGTTTTTCTAGAACATGACATGAATGCCTACCATGCTCTGTAAAACTAAATGCAAAGTTGAATTACTTGAAGAGTTTGCACGTTTAAGTGTTAGAAGCCATAATAATCATATCTTCACTATGAATTTTCTAACGACAAAAGAAAACACTAAGAGCGGTAAAATAAGCTTGGCTGAATCACACGCGTAAGAGTTAGGATTAGAAAACAATTAAGTTAATCTAACATTGCATACATAAGTGGTTCAACGTAAATTCCTAAATTAACAATGAGATTAAGCACTATGCATGAGTCCCTCACTCAACTCTCTAGTTATCTAAGCTTTAGTAAGGAAGAATTAGCATGATCTTTTGTGAATCAACATATAACCACAAGTAATAAGTGAACTAGGAAGATAAGAGAGTTTGGTGGAAGAGTTTACCTACATGAAACAGAAGGCACGAAGCTTTGGTGTCGACGATGGCTGTTTCTGCAGTGGGATAGCAATCGACATCCTTTCACAAGCCTGAACAGCTCCTAGGAGGGATTGGGAGTCATCGGCCTGCTGTGTGGACTCCAGGAGGGCTGGACAGGCATGCTTAAGAAGTTCACCACTTCATCATGCATATCAATTGATATTGGAATCTACTTACTAATGTTAAGGCATCAATTTTCAAGAAAGTGAATTACTAAAAGAATTTGAAAAGGTTCTTCACTCGATTTTTGTGGCTCCAACTGCTAACTTGGATGACCAAAATCACGCAACTTAAATGACATAAAAAAGACAGGTCAGGCCATGCTTCAATATACAACAATATTAATTTAAGGATGACTGACAAAATGTTGCAGCAATAAGTTAATTATGTGAATAACAATATGGAACAAATATTTCATAAGCTTAAAATAATTCTCTCCAGAGCATTATCTTTCCTTTTTTCTTTAACATTAAAAAAACACTTGTCTGTCTTTTTTTCAATTTATTGGTTCCAAAAACTGCCACTTGACACCATCTATATTCCCTGTAATTTTCTTCACTAAATTTCAACTCATATTTCTAGTTCTTTATTGAACTTATGCTGCATCAACCAATGAAAATTTCTCACTTTATAATCTCAATTTAAATTTAAGGAATATGATAAATATTTACTAAAACAAGTTAAAATATAGTACCATAAGAATATAAATTATTAAATAAGGAAACGGACATAACGGATAGACTGCCACCTTGGAGAGAGACTGGCCAATTTATCTTAAAAACAAACAATTTGTTGTAGGAAAGAGCTAAAACCAACCTTCCAAAACAAAATTTGCTGTCTGACAGCATGCACATTGTACAAACTTTGAACCTCGAGGATAAGAAAGCAACTCGTTGCAACTCCCACAGACCATTTGACCCATTTCTGCAGCAGAGAATATGCAAAACAGTTATTTTCTCAACTTTTTGACAAGCCACATAAAAGATGCTTCATCTTTCACTCGGGATTCTTATCATAAACAGTCGTGCTCAGCCCAAAGATGTTCCATCTATAATCATGCACATTTTGTTATAAAGTAAAATGGAATGTCCACCACATTAAGGACATAATATGCATGCAATATACCTTCGATATATATCGGACATGCTATCTGCATGTCCAATCAATAAAATAAAATAAAAAATCAGACAAGCCTAACATGTTTATCCATGAATAACTAAGTTTAGATGCATAAATCACTGATTGATAATGCCCTAGTTTTATTTCTTTCAACTTATTCCCCATCATGCAATTGCTTGCATCTGGCTTCAATAATGTTAATGAAGGTTGATATAGAATCTTTTATTATTTTTTTACTTCCATAAATATAATGATTTTTTACAACCTTAGAGTGTTATACTTTTAAGACTCATTTCATATTTTATTTAATTTGTGCAATTATTATGTAGTGCTTATAATTTTCTTATATACCTAAGCGCATCAAAATTGTGCTGGTATTGTATATTTTTAATAATAACAAAATCCCATATTTATGTCATGCCTCCATCAGTGCATTAAAGGGTTCCATTAGGACTTTATAATTTAGATCTTACTACTTTCAAGTGTCAAATTTCCAAATCATCTGTCTCAGAATGAACAAGTACAAAACACCATAAAGCATCATCAATTTTAGAAAAGGGTGAATTACAACAGAAAAAAAAAAGGATTAATATAACTAGTTACATAGCATTTTTAAGGATTATTATTTCTAGTTCTTGTTTAAAATTGCAAAATTAAAGGGGCATCAAGGCTCGCCTCAATGCAATTTAAATAAAAAGGTAATAAGATATATAACACATGCTTGTCAGATGAGACGTATGCCTTATTTAAGGTGAGGCACATCTCAGCATAATTTTAATGTAATTTTGAAAAGAAGTAAAACTCAAAAATTAGCATTTAAATAATTTTAAATTGTAAATTAAATTTAAGAAATTTTTGTAAATAATTAAACATATTTCATATACATACACAAAATAAACTTGAGAAGAACCGCACAAACTCAAACTGTCAGCTGCACGCCGAAAAACCCTTATGCCCATACCAAATCCTTTTGTCACCATCATTTCTTCAACGCCGCGGCTTCTCCTCCAACGCCTCTTTTGTGAATAGAAACTCATTTCCTTAACTTAGTATGAAGGAGAGAAAATGAATAACTAGAATGCGAAAAATTTTAAATTCATAAGTTGTGATATTAAACTACTTGTTTATATTGAATTGAAATTAGAAAAGACTATTTCTTTCGCCTTGGTTATAGCCTCGTATAACATTTATAGACCTTACATTTAACATTTTATGATTTTACTTTAATATCTTACTTTAAATATTCCTTATTATTTTATTTTTTATTAAATTAATAGTTTAATTTTGAGGTTCATGCATTCATGCTTTGAGGCTTACACCTCAGCTTATGAAAAAAAAAATGCCTCAATACCCCGTTATGCAAATTCAAACCATATTTGTAGCACATACTTAGACACATGGCACCCTCCAACATGTTCTAACATTCACTTTGTAATATGCACCTTATTCCTACCAACAACCTTCAGCACCAGAACGTTGCCACCAATTGTTCCCGGCCACCTCCACAAATCAATTGGCCAATGGGACTTTGATGGGCACATTGGGCACACGTTATTCACTCAATACATATCCTCCATCCTATAAATAACTCAACTTTATCAACAGGTGCTTAGTTACCCACGTGATCCCCAAGGACCCTCGTTGCAGGATCATCACCAATCTTAGTTACACTATTATCATCTATTAATAAGGTCTACTTTAAGCCTTCACAAGGGTTGAAAATTTTATCATGATACTAAACTTGGCTTTTATAATCTATCTCATATCCTCTTGTATTCATTAACCCTTTAATAAAATAAAGTAGACAACCATGTACTGATTATTTATCATAGTAAAACCTACCCTTCCTCTTACATGGTGAATATAGTCCACAAAATCGCACCATTTAAAATCCATTATCTTTTCATATAAAGCACTAAGATTATCTCATTCTCTTATGCTACACCTACTTCTCTCCTCCATCTTCCTAACAAAAGTGATGCAATACCAAAACCAAAGACAATGTCATAAACTAAAGCACTGCATCAAAATTTGAATAATTCCTTATACACAACTCTTCATATAAGCGATGGATGACCAATAATCTCTTTAATATTATGGGAATAATTAAAAAGCTTAATTTGATAGTTCTTGATCGGTAGGTGCATCATACTAGTCAAAGAATCAAAAAACCTTCATAAATTGATTTATTTAGAACCACTCTAATTAGTTTATTTATCAATCCAAATTTTCATATTTTTGAAGTCTTTAAATTTTATTTTGTTTCCCTTTCTTTTCTTTTGTATTAAGATAAGTAATCAATTTGTGTAATATTATTTTATTGGCTTTTAATACTTTCCAATGTTGTCTTAGCATGAAAAAAAAAACCCTAAATAAGGTCTTGATATATACTTTTTGAACCATTAAATAAAAAAAGTATTTTTACATATGCAAATTTCATGTGAAAAAGCTTGGTGGCTCCTCTATTCTCCAATGGAGCTTGATGGTTGATCCTCTGGAGAGTCCTTAGTAACCAAATTAAAATTATCATAACTCCTAGCTGTTGATCTAAAATCCATGAAAACACCACCAATAATTCCCCAATATCTCAGATCAAGAGCTCCTCCCTATTTTCTCAAAAAAAAGTAAAAAGTTTACCTCTCAATAGCATAAAAGTTTCAACATCAAATCTATCAAAGTTGTTACTTTCAACATAAAGATCCTATATACCTCAAAATATTTTTGTATCAGAGTCAAAGTCAACAAGCTTGAAGGAATACATCCTCCAAAATAACAATTAGAAATTTTTAAAACAAGATCTAATTTTTCAAGACCGAAAGAAGTTGAGGTACCTTTCAACTAAGGTTTTTTTTCCCAACGAAACTCTTACCACAATCCTAAAGCATTATATTAAATTATTTGTTAGTTTAAATAAAAAACTTGAAAAAACTATATGCTACTTGACAACTATATAAGAATTTGCTTTTATCTAAATTATTATCACAACCAAAAACCTTTGTGTTAACCATATACATTCTTAATTTTTTTTAGGTTCTTTAAATAAAAAAAGTGTGTTCCACAAACAAAAATCATATCTTGAATTGGAACTAAGACTGAATAACAAGAAATTATATTTTTGTGATAATCATTTAAATTGTATAAGCTTTATGTATTTATTAGTTATTGCTATTTGAATTATTTGCTTTGTAAACTTTATAAAAATTTTAAAAAATTCTTTTGTATAAATTAAATATATTATGCTAAACCATATACTTTTAAGGCTAAATAAAACTTTATTAACAGACTTAAACTATCTAAGGTAAGCTTGGAACATAAGTTATCTTATATGCTCTCTCCCTTCCTAAAAGTTCTCTTAGCATCAATTTCACTTTGATTATACACATATATTCTACTTTCCTCTCTCTCATCTTAAATATTTTTCTCTCATCTTTCTCTAATTCATTATTGAAAAAATAATAATATACCCTACATATCAACATGCCACTTACAACTACTATCTTAGATCAATTTTAAAAATTTCAAAAAATGTGAACAACTTAAATCAAAACAAAAAAGAAAACTGACTGCTATTGATACTAATTTTAATGTGTTTTAAAATATGTTTCAAACTCGTCAATACTAACTATTGGCTATTAAGTTCTGTATCCCACCTGAGTCTAAACCTAGGGATAATCAGTTTAGAAGATTGCTAGTACAACGAAATCAATCTAGATAAGACTTTACGATTTTCAATGATCCTTACTTCAAATATAAGTTAAAGCCAACTTTTAAAGGAATTTATGATCCCAATAAAAACTAGACTGCTTAAACCAAATGGAGGATTTTGTTATTGGTATAATACGGATGATTATAAAAAAACAAATTTTGCTACGATAAAACTTATATGGCATGTTAAATATATTGAACCAACATGTTAGTCAAAGAACTTAATGGAAGAAGCTATTTGACTTAGATTGAGATGAAATAACTTTTAAAGTAAAAAATTTATCCTAGGTTTAATGATTAACTTTGATGCGCCGACACTTCACTTAAAGAGGGAATACAGTCCTGGACATGCGTCAGAGTCGGACACGTGGGCGTGGACACTTATCTCATTTAAATTTTAACTGTCATAAATCATGAAATGTGTGGGCAAATTTGTTCTGTATTTAACATATGTCATGTCAAACAGTTTTCAGGATTTAAGACCCTTAGAATTTAGTAAATTCGGAATTACAGTATTTATTAAATCCTATGGAGTTAAATCCTGCTAGTTGCCAAACAGCCCCTTAAGGTTCTACCATATACGGTTTCCCTCAAAACAAGTCTTGTAAGATAGCTGAGAGCTAACCTGGAAGAGACTGTGGAGGAGGAAGATTCAAGGAATCCATGTTTCCCAGCGGCAACTTCGAAGAAGGTAAGAGACCTTGGCTATCTTGCGACTGCAATGGAGGACGAGGCATTGCATCTAGCTTTTCTTGTGGCAGTGGCGGAAGAGAAGGAGATAAGGGAACTGGTGTTTCCTGCGGCAGAGGCCATAGAGGGTGAGGCAAAGGGCCACGGTTTTCCTGCGGCGACTTTAGAAAAGGAGGGAGTTGGTGGCTTTGGCTCTCCTGTGGAGGCGTTGTAGATGGAGATGGAGAAGGAAGACGTTGGGTTAGATTGACATGGTTTTCGTGAAGCGGCGGCGAAGCAGGAGAAGGTAGGGAACTGGATGGGTTCTCCTGCGGTGGTGAAGTAGGGGTGGAAAGGGTGCTAGGGTTTTCAAATCCCGGGGGGAGTGTTTCCGGCGAGCTAGTTATGGCCTCCTCCCACCCCGGCGGGATGGAATCCGGCGAACTGCCCATGTTCCCTCACCAGCCACGGTTCACTCCGTCCTCTCTCTCAAGCTTTCTATTCGGTCATGCATTAAAAAAGGACAATGAGTTTCGTTCCCGTCGAATTTTAATTATTTGTAAATAATAGTATGTATATTATTTTTTGATATTCAATTTTGATTAAAAGAAAAAAAATGAAGGTTAAATTTTATAATGAATTCACATACTTCATGAAGGCTTTGAAAATCGGATCGATCAATGATCCGGAAGAAGAAGAGGTTAGCGGTTCGATAGTTCGACCGGGGTCGAATTGGATGACATAATAAATATTTATTATATTTAAATATTATAAAAATTATACAATTATTTAAAAACATATAATAAAAATTGAACATAATCATTTGGAACCATTTTTTCATTATAGCATATTTTTTATTCATGATCTACAAATACTCATTAGATCCTTAAATAAGTAAATCCTAAAATCCTTAGTAAATATAAATCCTTAAATCCAAATAGTTTGACAGGATTCAACCATATAATTTTTTATTAGACAAATACAAGATGTCGAAATGCTAAACTCCACTTGCTGCCAAAATGCTACACTCCATATCACGAACAATTATTAGGTCCGGACACCGGACGTAGCTCTACATCCGAAGGCCAATAACATGTCGCCACGTGCTCTTACTCTTTACCGTGCGGCTCGACGACCAGACCCGGACTGGAACCCGGTATTGCTATGTTCGCGTACTACTAGGTATTGCTCGATATTGCTATGCATTGCTAGGTATTGCTTGACAATAACGAGAAATACCGCTCTATCAAGAGCAATACCTAGCAATATCGAGCAATACCGAGCAAAACCGGGGTATTGCTCTGTATTGCTCGGTATTGATAGGTATTGGTCTTCACATAATGGTATTTCTCGTTATTGTCAAGGAATATCGAGCAATACCTAGCAATACCCCCGTCTTCACAAATCAGCCAATACATAGCAATCCCAGGTCCGGTCTAGATCGGATCGTCGGGCCGCGCGGTAAAGCGTAAGGGCACGTGACACCATTTTACTGACGTCCAAACGTAGAGCTACGTCAGGACACCGGACCAAATAAAAATTCCCATATCACGGTGCAAAGCACTAAAAATTTGAACAGATTTATATTCTGTACAATACACTACATTTGCAACCATTCAAACTATTTTGACGCCAACATTCGAACCGAATAAGAGTAGGGGAGGCTGGAATTTTGGTTTCTGCTTGTGTGTGAAGCAGATGGCGTGAGTAATAGAGAAGGATGGGAGCGGCAAGTGATCGTGTGTAAAAATTATAATAATGACAATACTATTTATTAATATATAGCAAAAATTGAACAAATTATAATATGAAGTGTAAAAAATAAAATAATATATATAGTAAATAAGAAAAACATAATAGTATATTTTACTTGAAGACACAACCAATCATAAAAAGATGCAAAAATATTTTATATCAACCGATAACGAAAAGAAAACATATCCATTTTCTTATTTCAATAGTTTCAAACTTTCAATAACTTCACAAGAAGAAAATTAAAGATCTCTTAAATTAGCATCATCAAATTTATCAACATAAGTTGAGTCTCCAGGTCTCGCTTCTCCAAAATATTCAAACTCAAATGCATACAATTGATCAAGCCTAATTATGTCGCATACATCTCCTTCATTCTCTAAGTCACATTCACCAACAAATAAGAAGTAAAAAAAAAAAAAAAATCTTCACAGTGCAAAGACTCCAACAACCATTTGCAAAAAAAAACTCCCTTCTAATCTCCATTCAAACTTTCAGTAAATCTAAGCAATACACAAAGAAAAACACAATAATGCAACCATTCAACCATTTGCAACCATTCAATGTCAAAAAACTTGATAATGCATACTCAATGTGAATGGATTCACGTCCAGCGACACCCAATGCGATAGAGAGAAGAAAATGAGAGCGATGCCGCGAGCAAGCAGGAGATTTTGCTTCTTGAAATAGAAGAGACACCGGAGGCGGACAAGATGAGGCCAAGCAGGAGATTTTGCTTCTTGCGCAGCGCCCCAGCCGCGCGATACGAATACGTCGAATATGGGTTTTTTTTCGCCTGGCGTTCGTATACCTCCATTCCGCTCATCTCAGCCGTCTATTCGCCTTTTTAGCAAACCGTCCAGTTAAAGGAAATCGGGACTAGTTCAAAGGTCGGACCGCCAGTTCGAGCGGCTCGGAGCTGATTTTTTGCGAAACCGGTTGTATCTCAAACCATAACCGGCTGGCCTGCCGATTCTAGGTTCAACCGGTTGAACCAGCCAGTCCGGTCTAATTTTAAAAGCCTTGTATTTCATTTGTTAAACAATTAAGTTAAAAGAATATTAATTTTATAGATAATATTTTAAATAATATATATAATTATGAGTTGTGAGAAGATATAAATTAGTATGGCTTGAGAGTAAAGATTAGCATGATTATAAAGCCTTAATATCTTTTATAATCAAATGAACAATTTGAATCCTAAAAAATTATGCATCAAATATTTTTTGTTTTAATAAAAAATATTGTTTGGAATTTAAATAATAATTTTATTATCTTTTTAATCTCTAATATTAAATTCACATGAGAAAAAGCTATATGATAGTTAATAAAAAACAAATAATATGAGAAAATCCTTAGAGCATATGATATATGATACAAGAGGTCAATCATGTTTTAGCATTTTAGCAATTACCTAAACTTGATATTATAATGCCAAAATGTTGCTATGAATTTCTTCATAGATGTATTAAATTCAAACACTTAAAAATATACATCATGTTTTATCTAATTATGATATTGATCTTTGAGAATTGAACAGGCAACCTCGTTAAGGCAACTAGAGGAAATGACAAAGTTTACACTTGCACTTCAAATATAATAATATTGGAATTATGGTGGAAGTTTGTAATGTTGCACATGATATCAAAGTAAGAAGTGGATCAATAACTAGAGCTCAGAGCGAAGAAATATATTGATAATCAAGATCCCGTGATAAGAAGTCAATTAACTAAGAACTATATTTTATTTTGTTATAATGATAATTGTATAAGACTATGTGATTTCTACTTTTATGTTGTGAGCAACCAGTGAATTTGAAAATTTGAAGCTCAACGTTTTAAATTTTGATTGTGATATTTTAAAATAAAAATGTGTAAGTCTTGTTTTTAGTTGGATTACATCAAGGATCAACATTAAGCCTATATCTTTTTTGCTTTAGTCATTCATTTTCTTACTAAATATCTGAAAGAAGATGTAATAATGTGCGTGTGTTCTGTTGATGATATTCTACTTGTTGATGAGATGAGAGAGGGAGTAAATTAAAAATATGAATTATGGATGTGAACCTTATAGTTTAAAGGTTTTTTTGGAAGTGAATCTAAAACTGAATACATGAAGTGTAATTTTAGTAGTATTAGATCTAGTTGTGGGATTGTAACACTGGGTGATCAAGTCATTAAAAAGAAAACATGTTTAAGATATCTTAATTCTATTATTAGAAGCAATAGTGAAATAGTTGTGAATATTATTAGTAGAAATCAAATTGGATGGTTGAAGTTGAGGAATGCATCAAGGTTGTTATATGATAGAAATTACCCCATAAATCTTAAGGATAAATTTTATAACATTTTGGTGAGAATTATAATGTTTTATGGCTTAGAATAGTAGCGATTAAAATAGAAGCATCAAATTAATTTAAGTGTTACAGAGATAAGGCTACTCAGGTGAATGAGATGCTTTACTCTTAGAGACAGAATATGAATCAAGTATATATATGAAAATGTTGGTGTAGCTCCAGTGCTGGATAAGATAAGAGAGAGCCGCCTTAGATGATTTTTGGTCTCATAAGATGTCAGCCAACTAATGACCATGTTCAGAGAGTAGATGTATTAAACCTGGCCTATGCTAAGAAAGGTAGAGGTAAATCTAAAAGGACTTCGTTAAAAGGCATTAAAATATATATATTTTTTGATTTAAATGAGAATTTGATTCATAATATGACATAATGGCGAAAAAGGATTTGTTTTGTAGACCATACACTGAAGAATAAAGTGTTGAAATCCTTGAGCCCAACTTTTTTTTTATGATTTCAAACATTATTGGTTAGATGAACAATTATTCTCTATAATATATATTGGTTGTTTTTTGATATATTAATATTTTAGATACAACAAACAAGGAGATAAGTAAAAGAAGATAACTCAAGAATTACATCATTGAGTTTAATAAAAACTTGTAATAAGTGTATGTATTTTCTTTTTCTTGAGTCTTTATCTATTTAAATGTATGTTGGTAAGACAACCAAGAACACAATCACGAGTTAAGATGAAAAGTGAGCACTTGGATTTTCTTTTAAATCTTACTGAATGATCCCAATCATATTATACCATCCAAATCATACTATACGATCAATTATTCAAGAAATTAAATTAAACATTTAATAAAATTAAATTCTAGCATAATTAATCGTATTGTATGATATTGATCATACAGAACAATAACTTATTTTTATAAATATCCACTCTTAAATTTGAGTTTTCATATTTAGGCAAATTTGAATCTTAAAATTTGACCTAATTATACTATAAAAACACATTCATACTATATGATTATTAATGAATATGACCTAATTTAAATTGGTTATCAAGTAATCGAATCTAGGTAGAATCATGATTGGCATTTGTATTGTACGATCCAAAATCATCCAATATGATCTAACAAGAAAATTTGGTGGATGAATAATGGTTTGTCCCATGATAATCCTTAATCTATTTCGATCTATTATATTATATTATTCATATCATACAATCTGATATAAGAAAACTTAGTAATGGGTATTGAACTAATTGGATAGTATGATCCTCACTTTAAATTGTATAATTTTTTTTTCACTCGGTGTAATGAAAATTGAAAATTAGGGTTTCCTTTAAACATCTCAATCTGATTTTTTTCATAATAATTGTATGTGAGGCAAGTGAGTAACTATAGTCATTTTTTTCCTAAGAGAGAGTCCTTGAAAAGAGATTTGTCCTTACTTGAGAGAGTTTTTCAAAT